TTTTTAAAAAAATATTTTTTAAAGTAATTTTATTTATTTTAATTTAGTTTTATTGAATTTTTGAGAAAAAATAAATTAAGTACGAAATTGAAAGTAATTTTAAAGAAAATGGATGAAATTTTGAGTTCGGAGAGTGTTTTTAAATAAAAAATTAGAAATATGGTGTTAAAATACAAAAAAAAAAAAAATCACGTGGGACCGGCCAGTCAACAAACCATGACGAACTAGAGTACATCGCGCGACAAAACACGTTGACAACGGCGCCACGCGGCGATCCGCTTGCCCAGCAATCTGACGGCCCCGATCTAATCCCACGTGCATGAACGGTCCAAATGTATTTTCTCTTTAAATGCAATCGAATGGTCAAATTTAATCCGATTGTGCGGTCCACATTCATTCTCCGAGTAGGATAGATCAAACGGAGGAGAGAGGACCATGCGTACCCGGACGGACGACCTACATCGATGCAGAATGGGTATTTAAACATCGCCTCTCAGGGAACCCTAACCCGAGCTGCACTTTTCCTCGCCGGAGAAGAAGAGCCAACTGCTGGAGAAGGAGATCGACCCCCGACCACTACCATACCAGCGCTACTGTCGATCGCCAAAAAAGGTAAATTTCTCCATTCTCACTTGGAATTAGATTCGAGTCTCTTTGTGGTCATATCTGGACAAAAGAGATAGCGGGTGAGCCAAAAATCGCAGACAAAGATTGGTGAAGTTCTCGCTGCCAAAATTCTAAAATTTCATCGATGAGCCCCTTTTCGTTTTCTGTTTCACACAAATTTTCAAACATTATGTTCATTATAATTTTCTGTGCAGGTTAGTCGAAGAAGAAACCCTAGTCGCGAAGGAGAACTGGCAAAGCCACCGCACCTGAAGATCCCCCAGCCAGTAGGTTTTGTTTCTTTTGGTTTTCTAGCCAACTGAGATCCTATAACGTATTTGTCTACAGGAATACGTGTAAAATCGGTCAAAATTGGCTGGGCTGAGGCATACTACTATCGTGGGCGGTGGAGCTAATGCCGGAGCATGGTGGCAGCGTCGTGCCGGAACCCTAAAATTTTTTAGAAAGGATTTTCAACACCAATTTTAGGTTTTTGGGTATTTTTAGGTATATGACAAGTATTTTATTCCTGCAAGAAATATTTAGGGAACCCAGGATTTGTTAGGAGGCGTAATAGATACACGACGTTTTAAAACACCGATTCGGGTAAGGATCAATCACCCTATTCTCTGTTACGGTAAATTGAGAATTAATAATCGATAATTGTGTATTTTGTAAAAAAATAGAAAAACTCTAAAAGTAATTATAGGTCACTAATGGAGGCAAAACCAGTTAGTTCATATTTGTCTTGATTCCCTGTTTATTTTTTCTGTACTGCCTAAATTGCTTCCTATCATATTATGCGTATTTAAATTGATAGTTTTTATGGTCTTATCGATTATTTGGTTGCTTCTGCATTGTTTATTTGGCTATCTGGTTACTTGATTATTCAGTTATGTTAAACTGTATCGCTTGCTTAAATGTCGTTTAAATTAATTAATATAAAATGAGACGTTGTTATGCTTTGGTGGTTATTTGGATGATGAGAAGTTAAATAAATGAAAACTTACTGAGCATCCTAAGAAAGTGTGGATGGACTCGGTACATAGAAAACCCTATTATAGACATTACCTTAGTCAGACGAGACTGAGAAGTCCTATATCGAAAGGTTTTTAGGAGATATGGTTCACTCTCATATCAGACGGGGTATCGAGGTGTTAGTGTTTTTGGCGTCCATTACCGGATAGGGTATGAGGACGATCAGATTAATTATCAAATCTTGATATTAATTCCACGAATAGAGGGATATCCCTGTGGACCCCCAGAAGTCCAAGTAAGTAGGTTAAAAGGAAGAATTACTGATATTATGTACGAAATTAAAATGTTACCTGACTATTTGTCTTCATAGATTGTTTTCAAAAAAATCTGTAATGATAAGTATGGAATCAAACGTTTTAGAATTAAAAATATTTATTTAAATCAAGAGCTCAATTAGTTATTTTATGATTTTTACTAATTTTTAGTTTTTTGTATCAGTGACTAGTGTGATATTCTTATTAGGATAGTGTAGCTCACTTTTTTATTAAGCATTTAAGATAAAAACGATTAAGATTTAGATCCCGATCAGTAAGAGAGTTGTGAGTAGTTCACCTCCCGAATTTTCTTCAAGTGCAAGTGAAGGTTAATTCTTAGAATATCTATTTATCTATTTTTAATTATTGGTTGTCTTTTTATGAGTAAATGTAGAAGAGACATTCTTATATTTCTAGTAGAAATTTTAATTTATTATGTAAGAAATATAAATTTTAATTTTATTATTGGTTTCTGGATTAAAGATATAAATTTATTTTTTTTAAAGTTTCAGTTGGTTACAATGTATATGTATACATATATATATGTATATATATATTTCATAAAAAAATAAATGAATTTATAATTTACGTGAGGGAGCATATAATTGGATCGGTCTTCTATGTAGTTTCTGGATTGGCCTTGCATTGTCCTCAAATCCCTAATAACATAAGAATCAACAAGATGATCAGTCATCCAAAATTAAAATAAATACAAAAAATGATAGATTAAATTATAAGAAATAATAAAATTAAGAGACTAATTGAATAGTTTATTCAAAATAATACTTAATTTATTTGATGTATAACCCTAATTTGACTTAATGAGAATAATAATTTAAGAGAAGCAGCAGGCTTACATCATGAACAGCTGCCTTCAATGCTCTAACTTGTTCCCTCGAGATTGTTATCACCTGTACGAGAAAATTAGTATATATATATATATATGTTTGTGAAATAATGAAAAAGAAAAAGAGTTGATAAGATACCTTCTTGAAAACTGTCCAAACAACTCCCTCAGTGCAAGGAGGAACAGTGACTGAGCCAATGTATCTGTAATATCTTTTCCCACATTTAAGTTGTCTTGGATTAATAATCCCCAACTCTTTCTCTTCCTTTGGATCAAGTGGCTTTATATGGCGGAGCAGCTGTTCAAAATGTGACAAGGAAGAAAATAATTTGGGAAAATACTGGTATTTTCTCACTTCCCAAACAATATAACACTCTAACTCAAACCGTTACTTCAAATACCTCTGAAAGGAAAGGATCCGGTGAACCATATTTGAAAAGAATTGCAATAACTGCTAATTTACCATCAGAGCTTTCATGAACAAAGTGAACTTCTGCATCGTACCTAGAGTATAAAATTATACATGAATAATTCAAATCATCTTTAAATCATGAAATATTTGTTTCTTGATGATAAGAAGAAAAGAAGACATTACATATATAAATAAGCATAGAAATTGAAAATGGAAGAAGGGTATAACCTAATTCCATTGACTGTGTGTTCTGAAGGTGAATGCCAGTGACTCTGCATCAGTTTATAATCAGTCCCATTTATCTTAATTTTTCCAGCATCTCCTCCTTTCCATGTAACCTGATGAAATTGCAGATAAATAACAATGATCTTTTGAAATAAAATTAATTCCAAAGAATATTTTTTTGAAAGACTTGACCAAAGAAAAATTCTCAATAGAAGGGTATATATATATATATATATATATATATGGATATTAATAATGGTAGTGTATATATGTATATACCATGATATCATGTCCTCTATTGATGGCAACGGCGGGTGCAGGTTTATAATGTCTTTCAAGTTTTCCTAAATCCGGTACTACTTTCACTGCACGATCGATAATGTCAATGGGGGACTGTAATTTTCCAGTCCCACAGGTTGTCCAATTTGAGTTCATTTGGTTCCACTTGTTTGGTCCCTTGTTAGTTTCTTCTTTGTAAGAAAATCCATGTTCATCCTCTGCACCCATCAAATATTCATAAACATATATACACATTGAAGATTCCCCATGAAATTTTCATGTATACATACATATAGATTAAAGACGAAGAAGAAAGAGACTTACATACCAACTTCAGAATGATCAGAAGCTGTGGAGATGTTAGGGAAAGAAAAAGAAGAGAGAAGAAGAGAAGCAATGAGGAAGAAGAAGACAAAGTTTGAATAACAATACAACTGGGTTTTCATATTTCTTAATTGATTACTAAATAATTCTCTCTCAGTTAAACCTTTTTCCTCTTCCCATTATTTCTTTCAGAGACTTTCTTCAGGGACTACTACTACCTGCTCTATTACCTGTAAAATTTCAAAATTAATTTCATCTTACACTCTTCCTATATTTATACGCCTATACATGTATAAAATTAGTATTTCTATTAATTTTGTGAATTTCAAAGTATTCTAATTTTCAAAATTTAACATTTCTTATAATTTGATTTATGATATATATGTATATATATATATATTTTTCGATATACTCTCCAGCGTTATTTAAATGCTAAACTTGTTATAATTTTTTAATAAAAAAATAATTTTAATTAATTAATTAAATTAATAATAATATTAATCCGAAAATACCCTCCCTAAAATAGTGCATATGACCATTTCGGAATCGCAATTTTTGGTCAACGACTCCTGAAATTGCTAATCAGATTTCTTAAAATGTTTTTTAATAATATATATATATATATATATATTGCGAAAAACACTCTCTGGTTTTTAAAGGAAGTTAAAATTTCTAATTTTTGTTTTTGAACGATTAAGATTTGGTTTGTATTTTCTAATCCAGGGGCTAAAACAATTTGTTTTAAATTCTGTGGTTTAAAATTGTTTTTTTTTTAATCTAGCTTTTGTACATGGTCCAATTAAGTTAGATTTTAAATTAAAACAGAAATGTTGTTGTATACTCCAAATATATTTACTTAAATCACATGAATAATTAATTTAAATTAATTATCTAAAACTTTAATATAATAAAAAAGAATTATAATCTATATGTTAACACAACATCTTGAAGTAAGAAACTTCAGAACATACCAACGGAAATTAAGTAAACATTACTTTAGTTTTATCAATTTGAATTTCGTGATTGGAAACAATATTTGAAAGGAAGTTTATTCTACAATATATTATATAAGTGAATTTATAAAAGAGTAGGAGTGTATAATCCAATTGGTCTTCCATTCAGATTCTGAATCGGCCTTGCATTTTCTTCAAATCCCTAATTACACAAGTTTTTTTTAAAAAAAAGGTTATAATAGAAATAAGAAAAGATTAAAAATAATAATAATATGTTGTGTTGTATGTACATCATGTACAGCTTCCTTTAATGCTCTAATTTGCTTCCTCGAGACTGTCCTCACCTGTAATACAAATACAAATATTAATTAAATAAAATATTATTAATAATTTAGAAAATTAATTTAATACCTTTTCAAAAATTGTCCAAACAATACCCTCGGTGCATGGGGGAACAGTGAGTGAACCAATGTATCTGTAGTATTTTCTCGTTCCAAATTTAAGTTGTCCAGGATTAATAATACCCAACTCTTTCTCATCTTCTGGATCCAGTGGTTTTATGTGGCCAAGCAGCAGCACCTGTTGAGAAATAATTAGATGAAGTGATTTGCATTTGAAAATGTTGTTAATTAATTTACCTTCGAGAGGAAGGGATCCGGCGCACCGTATTTGAATAGAATTCCAACAACTGCTATCACTCCATTAGAGCTCTCATGAACCAAGTGCATCTCCGCATCGTACCTGTAACAAATTGAGTCAATGTATTTTATGACATGGACAAATTTTAACTCTCTCTTCTTTTACATGAGAAAAAAGTCTACTCCGATTTATGTACAAACATAATAATACCTGGCTCCCTTGATCTTGTGCTCTGAAGGTGAATGCCAATGAGTCTGGAGTAGTTTGTAATCAGTCCCATTTATCGTAATTGTTCCCGCATCTCCTCCTTCCCATGAGATCTAATCAAATACAAATTTCATTTATTTTTATGTTTTTAATGATATTTTTAATTAATTAGATTAAATACAATAGTTAACTATTTTTATTTTAATAGAATAAAATTTATCACAAAAAAAACCATATATTCCAATTTCACCACTTAAAATGCAAAGCTCCTACAACTCTTTTACTAGTAAGTGTGTGTGTATATATATATTCAATCAATGATATGATAAGGACGGTATATTTTATAATGGACATATAAAATTTTTTTGGAATATGTTTTACCATAACATCGTGTCCTCTATTCTTGGCAATAGCTGGTGCTGGTTGATAGTCTCTTTTCAATTTTCCTAAACTAGGTAAAATCTCCACTCCATGGTCAATAATGTCAATAGGAGACTGTAATTTTCCAGTTCCACAAATTTTCCAATTTGGGTTGATTTTCCCCCAATTCTTTGGCCCTTTTCCACTTTCTTCCTTGTAAGAAAATTGGTGTTCATCCTCTGCACCATATCCCATCAACAGTTGATATATAAAATGTTACATATATATATACATATATAATGTATAATCTATATGTGTGTGTGTGTGTGTGTATGTATCTATGTATGGGTTGAGAGGAAAACTGATCAAAGTGCAACAATCAGAACACAGAAAGAAAAACTGATCAAATATGTAACTTGAGAATGATTATTATATTAACTCATGAAGAAAATGCATTTAATTAATGGGTATGAGTTACAACCATATAAACATGAAAAAAAAAAAAAAAAAAGAAAAAGAGAAGAAGAAGAAGAAATACATACCAACTTCAGATTCAGAAGCTAGGCATATGTTAAGGAAGGAAGAAGATGAGAGAGTAAGAGAAGCAATAAAAAAGGAGATAAAGCTTGATTTGCTGCAGTGAAATTTCTGATTTCTCATGGTTCTTCTCTGCCTATGGTCTTCCTTTGCAATTGCTCTATATATATATATATATAGATACATAGATGTATATGTACGTGTATGTATCAATACGATTTATGGTTACAAGTGCGTGTATATATATATATACACACACACACACACACGCACGCTGAGAAGCTTTCTTGAGAAAGTTGTATTACATTCATGGAAATTAAAAACCTTACGAGTACTAGTTAATTTGACTCTACCACATGGATCACGTCTACAATTTCGTTTATATGGAATAATACTGATCAAAATTAGACCCTTTGATTTTTTTTTTTTTTCAGAAAATCATGATCAACCAGAGGAAAATTTTGTGGAAGAACAAGAATGGAATGTTTATTTAATTAATTACCTAAAGGACATCCGTTTAAGCATATATGTCTTAAGATGGTGTATTAATAATTAATTAATTTTCTGTGTGGAAAAGTCCAATTAACAAAATCTACAGGTTACTATTTCCTCAAAAAACAATTATATCTTAGATAATTATGATATTAATTGTCATGGTTTTTTAGATTATGTACATTATTTGATCGTATACTTAAAACAAAATAATACTTATTTTAAAAGACGCATTGAATAAGATAAAATATTAGACTATTTCATAAATTCCTTTGCAATTTTTTCTAAAAACCATTTTTGGGAAAATACATAAAATTACCGTATATTAGTTGGAATTACAATTAGCAATTAATTCACTAAATTTATAATTAAGAATTAATTGGTAAATACATTTTGAAGCCTCAAACATCCAATGGGCACTCCCTTAAAAATTATATGAGAAATTTACAATTATTATATAAATATATTTTCTTTACTAGTTGATCAATTAAATTAAAGTGAGAATGGTGGGTTTAAATTGTATTAAATATATATTTTCATGGAAATTGTATTAATCAACGGCTGAAATCATTAACATCTGAATTTTCAGAAAAAAAAAAAAAAAAATGAAGTTGATCAACACACGTAAACTAATGGAATATATTTTTCTTTTCCTCTTTTTAAGAAAGGAATATATTTTTTATTTGAGTTGATATACATACATCCTAATCACCCAAGATTCAGGCTACCTACTTTGTCTTGTCAAAAGTAAACACTCCCAATTTATTTATTTTTCCACAGTCTGTATAAAAATTTTAACCAAAAAATAGTAACTCAAAAGTTAAATCTATTTCTTTAGTTGCAATTTTGAGAACAAAACTAGAGCAGGCATATTAATTCATTATAGTTATCCCTAGACTAAATAAACTTGGGTACTGCTAAGTGTTTGATTCACCCAAATCATAATAGTCTACTAGAACGAATTTCAACTTTATCACAAGAGTCACACCAAATAAACTAAATATCCTCTTATTGATAGTAAGTTCGATATTTCAAACCTGTATAAAAAGGGTTTACGGGGACTCTTTCTACACTAGCCTGCTCGCAATCTAATTCTAAATCTCTGCTTTAACATGCAGATTTGAAAGCAAACAAGATGCACCTGTTTCAAGAAGAAAGCAACCTTTCTTCTAACCCTCAGCCAGCCAATGCCAGCAAGTGAAAACTCCATACGCCTGGCTTCGTAAGCTCTTCTACACACAAACCACCCGAATAACTGCGCAGCAAACCTAGAACTTGACTGCCAAAAAAAAAAAACCAATCTTTATCGCATATTGCCCTCCCTCAAAACATCTATCATATTGTAGATCCTCTTGTCTGCCTTCAACCGAACCTGCATTCACATGACATGCCACAAATTCAGTCTGAGTAGTTGTAAAAAGGGCATTTGGAGCAAACGACTTGACCTTTGGGATTAACATAACAAACTCCTCTTTCGCACTCAGTCACAAAAAAGATCGAATTATTTTTCCTTCCCATCAAATCAGAGCATATCGGATTTTGATGTCACTATTTTACAGACTAATCAATATTTTTTACTGACAGATTCTAAGAGCATGTGACCGTTAAAAGGTGTTAGTAGCAGAAAACATGGAAATCAAAAGGTAACTTAAAGTATAATTATATTGAATGCTATCTTGTATATAAAAATTAAGAGTACAACACAATACTAATAATTGGAATAAAGAAGTACAATGAGGACTTGGTAGGGTATGCACCTTCTTAGCAAGAAAGAGTATAGCATCAACCGTGCCCTCTGCATAAATAGATCTACCACAAACATTATGTTGGAACTCGAAAGAAACTCTGCACAAACAGGATTCAAAACAAAATTTAATGGGGTGAAGACTCAATTTTTTTTTTGGAAAATATGAGATTTTACGTTTCATCAGGCGATGTTAGATGATATAAATGGAAAGCATGACCAGCCAAATGCTCCTCTGGAACTCCCACCATTTCAATTTGTTGCTTTGCATCGCGAATCAATTGTACCTGACAAACCAGGACAGGTAGAGGATTAAGTAGCCAGATTTCCACCAATAAAAGTCAAATAATTTGTTGGTGACATACATGTCTTACTCCGAAATCACCATACTAAAAAATCTGAACGGGTAAAAGATTAACAGAATCTCATTTCATAAATCATTTCATTCTTATCATATAATGATGTATATACAAGTTACACAATGTAAACTTGACATAGTAAATAGTGAAACGTGGGAACTGAGCAAGAAGAACAGAGCCATTTTCGAGGCCAAAACTACATAATTTCTGAAATAATTCAGGCACTTAAAATGCTAATACTCAAGATATACCCTAGGGTGGGCAGGAATCACCAAGATCCAAGGTGAAGAATTTCCAGAACAAAATAATAACTTCAATGTTCCAAAAAGAAGTTGCATAAGTAAACAATTCAAGAAGCAAACCAAACACTCTAAGCCAACCAAGTATACATCTAACTGCATCTTCTAAGTTTTAGGTTGCTCCTTACTGATTAATCTCTACGTAGTACTAAAAAGTGAGCCACAACTAACTTACATGATTCATGTCAAAAGACACCCCCAATTTCTGAAAGCAAGAGATGACAGCCTTGGCTGTGCCAGAGATGTCCAACTTTCCTGCTTGATGAGATTCCATGACCTAAATTATATACAAAAGCACAAACAGTTACTTTTGATGCAGAGAAAATAGCATGTGATGGATGTAGAGG